CCTCTGCTCCTCTACATTTCACTCATCTCCCAACACACCTCTCTACACACCAAATTTCTCTTTCTTAAGGCATTGTAATTCCCTGGAGTATACTCTCACGGTTACTTTATACATCAATAAACACCCCCGACCACCACTGCGGTTTTCAGAGAGTGAAGTAGGTCACCCAAACCGAACCACTATAAATCTATGTGTTTTGCTCTTATTTACTGTTTTACCATTGATTGCCTATTTATTACTCATTAATTGCACCTTACATATACTCGACTGTTGATTTTGCGTAATACCAATTTGTGTATCATTAGTTTGGCGTCGTTTGTGGGAAACGATGAAGTTTTCTTCTCTTTTCTAATCCATGGCAATCACGACCAGATCGATAAGTCAACAATTGGGAGACAACAACCCAGCCCACCAAGGGGAGGCTCCGCCTCCCCTTGCACCCTCGGAACCATCTGCTACGGCGACTCCCGTTGTCGAGTAACATCTCTTATAGACTATGCAACTGCTGGTAAACCAAAACCAGGAGATCATTCAGTTGATGCTCGCCTAGGGAGGCGTTGCCCCTTACCCTGTAGGAGGAGCCCCACTCCCCCCAACAGGAGAAGAGTAGCAACCTATCTTTTCTAGGCTCCAGGTAGCCCCTCACCATGGGACCCCTCACTAAAATGCCCCAGGGCCACGCCAGGGTGCCCCTCGCTTAGTAGTCCCTCCTCAGCATCCAGGGAGCTCACGTGTTCCCCTTCCACACCTACCTGTGTTGGAGGATGAAGAAGAGGGCCAATATGGTGATTATGGAAGCCAGTACCACCACCCAACTGAGGATATCCCCAATCAATGAGACGAGAAGATCAGAGAGGTGCAAAATCGACTAAGTAATGCTCTCAACGCCATCAAGGCTCAAGCGTCCGAGATGGTGGATTACCTGGTAAGACGTTCTGATACACCTTTTGTTGCAGACATAGATGATTATCCCTTACCTTCGAAGTTCAAGATGCTTACCATTGAGATCTTTTACTGTACCAAAAATCCCCTTGACCATCTTAACACCCACAAATCTCTCATGCAACTCCACAACGTATCTGAGGAGATTATGTGTAGAGTCTTTCCTACCACCTTGAAGGGGTCTGCTCGCCAATGGTTCACAAAGATTAAACCCTCCTCCATCCACTCCTTCGCGAAATTGAGTAAATCTTTCGTCTCCCACTTCATTGGGGGACGCCGACATTAGAAATCTGTGATCCACCTGCTCACTATCAAGCAGGACAGGGATGAAAGCCTTAGAGACTATCTCGCCCGTTTCAATGAGGAGGCTCTCCAGATTGAGGAGCCAGATAATAAGGCAGCCTTGTTCGCCTTTAACGCTGGTCTTCACCCTCCAATTTCATGTTCTCCATCCTCAAGAGGCTGCCCTCCAGCATGCCCGAACTGTTGTCTAGGGCACATAAATACATGAACGCTGAGGATGTCACCAAAGCCCGTAGAGGTGAGTCTTCCTAAGGAGCAGAGAAAAGGAAAGACACCCGCGAAGACAGGAGGGAGGAAAAGAACCAAAGGAATAGGGCAGAGAGAATCTCAGCTAAGGACCGCCTTGGTCCCTAGCCTTCGAGAGAGTGGCAAGCCTTCACACCGCTCAATGCTTCCGTGGAGCATATCTTTTTCCAAATACAGAATAATCCAATAGTACATTGGCCAGAGAAGATAAAGACTGCCTCGAACTGGAGAAGCCCGAACAAGTATTGCTTCCATTGCGACTACAGCCATGATATTGACGACTAATTTGATCTTAAAAGGCTGATTGAGGAGCTTATACAGCGTAAGTAGTCTCCTTACAATCCTCTGCTACGACAACCATCTCTCGAGACTATATATTGTTCGGCTCCTGCGGCCCTCTCATGGAACATTCACATCTTTGACTCTGTTCTCACGCATGTAGTCTCTTTATCAGTCTTCAGCTTCCCGGCCCTCCCGTAAGATGCCAAAAAAGCTCGGTTTTAGGAGGCGTGATTCTCTCACAAGTAAGCTTCAACTACTCCACAACAGTCTCTCGAAGCCCCCTTTCTTTTGCCAGATCATTGGATGCCTCTCAAAGTTTAATCATTCTTGAAAAGAGGCAAGGAAAAACGGTAGCCACCAGCAAACATTCAAAAAGACAAATATGAAGGAAAGGATACAGGTACAAATCAAAGTTGATAATGCCCTCTGGATCTTGAGATCCAGCCTTTCTGATGTCCCTAGGAGTCATGGACTCCCATAGTTGCTCCTTGACCAAAGTCAAGTCAAAGCATGGACACCGAGCCACTACTAGAAGTAGCACAGCTATATGGAACTATACTCCCCATAAAAAGACTGCACTGGAGTCTAAACTCTTACAACAGTACAAAAGCTAGCTCTGATACACACAGGAGTCACAGTCTGAGAAAGAGTGGGGGGCACCATCGGGTCCTATCTCCCGGGAAGTAACTTAGTCATCGAACCTTGACTGAGAAGCACTCGGGGCATCAAACCTTGCCCTTTTGAGAAGATAGGAAGACGCTGCCCTAGAAGCATAGAGAACCTTTACCTCTATCATCGCTCTATCAACGAGAGCGCCTGTAATCAGAGATAAGATTAAGATCCAGCATAGCCGAAAGCCATTATAGTCTCCCTTCCTCTGGCGTCGCGCAGGCCTCCATGGCATCGCCAAGACTAGCCTTTTGCTCTAAGGCCTGGCGCCCAACGCCATAGGCATCGTCCAGTTCAGGCGTTGCCCACATCCATAATAACATCTTCATCACCCAGATACAAATGAGGTCGCAAAGGGACCTACCAGAAAAGGGCATCACCCCTTCTCTCTCCCATATGGGCGTCGTCCCTCTCTTCACAAGCGCTATCTAGAAGCCCACTATCGTCGCTTGGCTCAGCACCTCGGGCGCTTGTCGCAGCGCCCCGAGTGCCTTCCATCTCCCTTTCCATGGGCGCTGCCTAGGCAGAAGCCCATTGGCATCGCCTGCCTCAATGCCTTGGGCACCTCCCATATTCCTTTCTGGCAAAAACACAGAATGCCAATCCGTCGCCCATGAATGTCTGATAGCTGCTTGCCAGAACGTAGCTTCCCACCACCGTCACTAATTTGTGCTTAGAACTCAAATTTAGAGAGATAGAAGCATTTTTTGGGAAACATTGTTTACCAAACCACCTTAGGCAGTTTTCTATGTTGTAGATCTCACTTGCGTCACCTCCAGCTTGCTTGCCTGCTTGCCTCCCATGCCTGCCTGGCATCAGCACTACTAGCGCCCACTTGTCTGGCGCCCTCGCCCAAGACAGCCAGTACCCTCGCCTAGGCCAGCTAGCGCCTAGCCCAGCGTCCCCTGCCTTTCCGCCAATCTCGCCCTCTCGATTGGCGCCACCGAGCCCGACATCACCTTGCTTGGGGTCGCCAAGAGCATTGCCCACCTCTCGATCCAGCACTCTGCTCATGTGATGGGTGCTGCCCCTTTTCTCCTACAAGAGCGTCACCCTCTCTCCCTTTCTCTTTATAGGCGCTGCCTAGGTCCCCACTTGCATAACTTACTGGGCCTCCAGTCTTTGAGGCATCACCAAACTCACTATGGGTGTCACCTTGAACTGCTGTAGCATCGAGGATCGTGCCATAGCCATGGGCATGCCCCTTTCACTATCCAGCCACCTTGTTCCAATGCCCCGTGTTCAACCTCTGTCATCAAAATCCTTAGAAACTCTAGAGTCACTCACACTAATGGAAGCTATATCGTGGGGAATAAGAAAATCTTTGCTCATCCAAGTGAAGAAGAAGTTCATGCCCTCAACCTCTTTCTTTTGCAAACAGTCGATGGCTTGGGGCGTGGGTGCCAAATGATGAGCCAAAAATCAACTAGGCCAGGCCCAATAGATCAAGTAGGCCCAAGTCAGCTAAAAAGCTGCCCAAACCCACTTTGCCAATCCGACCCAGTCCGACCCAGCTTAGGATCCAAGAAGTCTAGAGAGAAGATAGGAGTACGTGAGAGAAAGAGAATATCAAGTTATGCATTCATGGAGACCAAATCCTACCTTGATTGTATTTACCAAAAGAGTGGAGCCATCTTCCTCACGTCACCGCCTCATCAAACCTATATAATGGAAGCTCTCTCCACATAGAGGGCATGACCTTATCACCTTGAGACCTCTGCTCGTACATTTCACTCATCTCTCAACATACCTCTCTACACACCAAGTTTCTCTCTCCTAAGGCATTGTAATTCCCTCGAAGTATACTCTCCTGGTTACTTTATACATCAATAAACACCCTCAGCCACCGCTGCTGTTTCCTAAGAATGGAGTAAGTCACTCGGACCGAACTATTATAAATCTGTGTGTTTTGCTCTTATTTACTATTTTTCCATTTATTGCTTATTAATTGCACCCTTACATGTACTCGACTGTTGATTTTGCGCAATACCAATTTGTGTATCATCAGATACTCTGATATGACATTACAACCAGAGGGGTAAATTTATAGTTAGAAATGCTTCTTATGTTAGAGTGGAGCAAAAAAGTGCGTAGAGATTTGCCCATGAAGTGTCATCAAGTGTAGGTAATGTGAGTTGGGATTTTTAATGGAAGCAAAGAATTCTAAACAAGATTAAGGTTTTTATTTGGCAGTTTTGTTTGGAGGCTCTACCCAAAAATGAGAACTTATGGCGAAGGAAATCAAGTCAAATAATCTATGTGATGTGTGTCGTAAGGACTCGGAGTCAAGTATGCATATTCTACAAGGCTACTACTGGGCCAAATTATCGTGGAATTTGAGCTCTCTTCACAGGATCATTCACAGGTATGGGACAATTGTAGAACAATGGGTAAGGGATATACACTCTTTTCTAGGTCCTAAAGAGTTTGCTTGATTTCTTGTTCAATGTTGGCTGATTTGGAAACATAAGAATGAGATGGTTCGTTTGGGTTCCTCTAAGAACCCGACAATTATTGTCAAAGAAGCTAGAGTTTTTTTTTTGGAACAATACTAGCAGGCTAATGGTGTTCAAAGTCCAACTGCGTTAATCTTTGCGTCGTGGAAGCCTCCTAGAGATGGTCTAGTCAAGGTTACCTTTTGTGGGTTTGAGATTGTGGAAGGGCAGACGATGGGAGTCGGTGCCAATATAAGGGACAACAGTTGGGTCTTTGTGGCAAGGATGGCAAAGAAGCATGTGCATAGCGAGGAGGAATGGGGGCGTGGCAGCCATAGCTCTGCAAGAAACAGTGAGTTTTGCTCGTCTTCAGGGGATAGAGTCTGTGGTTTTGGAAGGGGATTCCATTCAATTTTTGAAGTCTATTACGGCCATAGTTTCAAATGAACAAGTGGAATACAGGGATACAAATTTGAATAGTGTGAGGAATGAACTCGAAAGCGTGAGTTATTCCGAGATAACTATGGTTCCGAGAAACAATAATAGAGTGGCATCGAGCCTGACTAAATATGCGAGGTTTCTTGAGGGGTTTAATCATATGGCGAGAGTGTGCTTTAGATTTTGTAATGCCTTTTCTTTTCTTTTTTTTTATATTCAATTTTAATAAAGCATACTGTTTCTATTCAAAAACAAAATACTTTAATAATCATATTAGTTACATTTAATATTGTTAAGATCGTATTACCACTGTTGTGGTAAGATGTACCATAGCTGTGGGCAATTTACCACAACTAAGGGTGCGTTGACTATCTGTAAGGGTGAGTTTATCACAATTGTGGATAAATCTGGATGCCCAAGTACATAAGAAGACAATACACAACATAAATTCCTACTCGATTGTTCTTCAGGTACTATCAAAATCACAAAATCAACTACTTTATGTTCTTCAGGTTCTTCAGGTACTATCATACACAACATAAATTCCTACTCGACGTTGTTGACCCACGTTAGTGCGTTCTGGGGGTGTAATCAAGACATATACAATATAACCAAAGATCCATAAGTGAGAAATACTTTGTCTGCATAAGTAATGGTTAAGCAAATTAGTTTGAGCCATTTGATGAAAGACTCAGTTAAATTATTTTGGGTATGGATGTGAGCAACCAGGTTTTCCACATCAATCCTAATGGACAGGCAGTAGTCATCAAATGTTTGGAATATAAGTTCAATGGCATTATCAAGACAAATTTTCTTGATTGGATAGTGTGAGAATTATGTCTGTAATCGAATTATTTAGTCAAGAAAATGAGCAAAAGCAACATTCGAAGTAGATAGTAAAAAACATGTGATCACTGCATTGAGGCATCAATTAAAATCATAAAATAGCAAAATAGTACATGTGATGGGTGAATAGGTCCATAACAAAATAGTACATGTGATGGGTGAATACCCCAATACACAACATAAATTCCTACTGATAATTGTTCTTCAGGTACTATCAAAATCAACTTTGATGGTGCTACATGCAAGGATTTAAATTCTTCTGGTATTGGGGTAGGTATCAAAGACTATAATGGTTTTTTTGTTGCTGATATGTGTCAATATGTTGGAAAATCAATGGATATTGTATATATGGAGGCTATGACTGCCTTATCTGGATTGAAATTTGCAATGGAATTAAGATATGAAAGAGTTATGCTTGAAGGGGATTCAAAAATAGTTATGGAATGCCATCAGTAGGAGGGAGCCTAATTTTACTAATATTGGCACATTTGTGGAACAGATCCAACTTCATGCATCTAATTTGTTAGAATTCCTTATGAGGTGGACATGTCGCTCTAGAAACAATGCTGCTGATTTGCAATGTAATGACTCTATTAGTTGGAAGAGAGATTGTCCTGAGTTCATGTATCCTTTCTTTCAACAAGATAGAATACTTACTTGATGAAATAAAATATTTGTTGTTTCGTATCAAAAAAAAAAACATAATGGTCATTGATACAATACTAATTTGGTAAATTACATCTAGGCCCTCAGAAGCTTGTCACTAAATCACATAGATCCCCTCAAGGATACTAAATTATATTGACACCCTCTTTAGGTAACTGCCAATTAACAGACCTAATGGAAGCTACAAAATGAACATTGATGGGGCATTTTTAAGACATCAACAAAAACCAACACGTGTCCTCGGCACAAGAGCCCTCAGAATTCTTGAATTGTGACACGTGTCCTCAACACGATGGTTCCTCAGAGCACTATTATTGAGACATGTGTCATCAGCACCAAAGTTCCCTCGAACCCATCTGCGATGGACACGTGTCCTTGGCACCCAAGTTCTCTCAATGCCATCTGCTAGTGGCAAGTGTCCTTGGCACAAAGTGTTTTGCAAAATACCTACGAGTGACACGTGTCCTCAACATATGACACCTCGGGGTGTCAAGATAGCAACACGTGTCCTCAGCTTGACTGACTCTCCCAAGATCTATTTCCAGACACGTCATCTTGGCTCTAGGGCCCCGAGGCAGAGGTGTTAGAATACCAATGGGTCTCTAATCTAACAGTACTCCTTAATTTGTGAAAATTTTGTCTTCTTTAGATCAAGGGTTCAAACCCCCATCTCCCTCCCAAAAAAAAAAAAAAAAAGGTGTCAAAATGACAACTATTGTTACTTGGAGTTAAACTTAGTCAATAATCATGAATTCTCTTCCTAAAATAGTCAGAATGGTAGAGGGGACAGACTCACACCCAATGAAGATGTTACACGTGGCAAAGAGCACAAAAGCAAGGGCGAAAAGACGAAGATGCTCTCACTCGTACGCAGCCATTACAGTCAAGCATTGAATAATCCCTCATAAGGATGGGGCATAGTAAATGCTTGGAAAGTCCAGAATGAAGAGCATTAAGTGCTCAAGAGCCAGAGCATTTAATGCATGAGCCTCTTCCACGCAAGATGGAAAGTGCTCTGTCCAAGAACTGAGCACCACTCACTGCCTTCCAAATGGGCCAATGGGGGACCTCTTCTTCAAGAGGCTTACCTGTCAATAATGATCACCTCTAGGGAGGTATAAGTAACTCTCTAAAATTCAAAGAAAAGGTACACAAACCAGACAAAAACAATAGAAAAATGTTTTTCTCTCTCATCTCTCACGTACTGACTTGATCGTCGGATGGGTCACGCCAAAAAACATTCTGGCGCCTTCTAACCTTCTTTTTTGAGTGGTAGAATTCATTTCAACATGCCGAAATCGCATGGACAGCTGGAGAAACAATTCATCACCACTACTTACGATTTTTCTCGTTTCCTGTTGTCTCGAGACCATCGACTTTCAGGTAAATCTTATGTTCACCAAAAGAGAGATCTGTTCTTTTCTTCTATTGTGCGAAAATAACTATGCACAAACATGTTATCCTCTATAAAAACACAAATAAAATCAATCCGACACAGACCCAAATATCACGCCCGAATTTGACCCATATCGACCCGACTCCGTAACTCACTCCATGTTTTCTCCTCTTTCTTTTTCTGCACCGCTTTTACTGTACTCAATGCAGTGACTGCCAACCAAACACCATCCTTGCAATCACCTATTCCCATCTTCGTCACTGGAACCCATCATTCACCTCTACTCACCACAACTACCAAGCGAGATATCCCAACACACCCTACTGCAAACTTCCCATGACACACACCCTACTCCTGTTTGTAGTGGTTGAACGCACTGACACTAGCGACTCATCGCGTTCTTCTTTGATTTTTGGCCAAACAATTATTGAACCATAACCCATTGGATGGGTAGTGCTAGTGACAGATCTAGTTTTGCTAGAGTGAAGGTGTGGTTCTGAGAGAGAGAATGAAAAGAGTTGGGTCGTGGTTCTAAGTGTTGTGATGGACATAATTATTTTGTGTGTGTTTGTGGGTGGTGGAGGCAACAATGGTTTCTGGTGCATTCGGTGTTGGGGTTGGTGATGAGGTCAAATGGCATTTTCCTTACTTAAAATTTGTTAACGAAAATAATGGTGGGAATTTAGGGATTAATTTCTTAATTAATGGGGGTTTTATTTCTTAAGTTAGCTTAGCGAAATAATGATGTTAATTAGCTTGACAATGAATGTTAATTAGCTTTAGTAATGGGTAAATCAAGTTTAATAAATCACTTAAATTAACTTAACAAAATGAATGATCGTAATTATGGTGGTTAATTGCTTAATTAATGGGCTAAATTATTGTTGGACTTGTGAGAGGTTTTACGAAAATTTGAAAATTATTGGGTTTTTGGTAGTTCAATTTTTTGGTTGTAATCGAATGGGTAATTTGAGAATTTTTTGATAAAACGTGTTGATGTCATGATAGTTTGACGGTTTTTGAAATGGATTTTAACGGTAGAGAATTATGTGTTATACGGACCAAACGTTAAGGGAGCATGGCGTTATTTTTCATACTTTAGAGTGTTTATGTGATTTAATAACAAACCTCAGGAGGTTTAAATGTAATTTACCTACATATTTACTTTAGTCTACTAATTGGTAGGTTATGAGTCATCTATTTAAATACAATATTTACAACACAATTGCAATATTTGCATCACCTCTTTATTTCCTTCAATTATAATTCTTATCCTCTTGACTTTAGCAAAGTGGCATCAGAGCAATTTTATAAGTGAAATAATTCTAACACAAATGGATCTTTGAAGCCTTGACAGAGTCATCACTTTCATGATGATGATGAAAAATTTACCAAACATTTATTTTTGGTGTAAACAAATAATGGTCTCTCAATACAAGAGAATGAAGATTATTCTTACTTCTTATTTTAAAGCATGTGATTTATGAAAATGTTATTGAAGAAAAGCAAAGGAATGGCTTGTTGAAAGAAGCTGAGAGAAGAAAAAGGAAAAGACACTAAGAGTTCTTAAGAAGGTCATACATTCCAAGATTTTTAAGTATGTTAGAGATTCAAGATCTCCACATTATTCTTTGGAAGTTGATTGAGGATATTGTCTTCAAACATAATTGTGAATTCTGATTCAAGGAGTATTAGTTTAAATCATTTGAAAAAGACGATTTCATAAAAGAAGAATGTAATTTTAAAGAAATGCCAATGGAGGATCAAGAAGAATGTCATCTTGATGAAGTTAAACAAGTTGAGGAGATCAAAGTTGATGTTGAAGTTCAAGAGGCGAGAGAAAATGATGAAGTTGAAGAATCATTTCAAGAAATGGAAGAAAAAGAAGTTTGCAAAGAAATTAAAACAAAAGATCAAGAAATTCACGAAGTTGCGAGGTAGGAAGAAATCAAGAATCTTTAGATTGTTAAGGATGATGAAATGGGATCTTATGCACTAAACATTAAAGATGGTTTTTTAAATGACAAACAAAATTGAAGGTAGTCAAGAGATTTTTTATAGTCATATTCCAGGTAATGATTTTTCTAAAAATAAGGAATTT